GCTCTGCCCCACTGTGTTCGAGCCGTTATAGCGGCCTCTATGGCGATTGAGTGTAGTGCTCCCATCGTTTTGTTTCATCCTCTCACCGTGCGAGTTCCCCATGCTGTGTCAGCACTGTTGCTGCAGACAAACATGACTTTTTTGTCTCCTGCGAGACACCTGTCTTGTATGGCAACATTGCTCTCCCAGCCTCATGTGCAACTGCAAAGATGCACCACACTGAATCCTGCCACTTTACTCCCCATTCCAGGTGATGGAAATCAGCATGATTGTCAGCAATTGGCTGAACAGCAGTCAAAAAGCAGAGATGACTTGACAGATGTGCCACTACCTACAGGTGACATACTGTTTGTTGATGGTTCCTCAAAGAAAAACGAATTTGGGAAGACTGAGACTGGCTATTCTGTTGTTACAGCCACCAAAATTCTTAAAGCTGAGCAGCTGCCTAGCTGCTACTCAGCCCAAGGGGCGGAATTAATTGCTTTGACGGAGGCTTGTATATTGATGAAAGATAAAGAAGCCACGATCTACACGGACAGCCAGTACGCTTATTCCACTGTGCATTCCTTTGCTCAATATTGGAAGAATAGAGGTATGGTTTCATCCACAGGCAAGCCTGTCACTCATGCTGAGCTCCTCACCAATCTATTAAAAGCAGTTTCACTTCCAAAAAAGCTTGCCATTTGTAAGTGTGTTGCTCACACTCATGGTTCCGACCCAGTTTCTACAGGAAATGCTTTTGCAGATCTTACTGCAAAGAAAGCGGCAGAAGGCAGACTGTCTGTGATGCTTTTGAGTGACCACTTTTCTGATACAGACCTGTCAAAACAAACTCTTTTTGAGATGCAGCAACAGAGCCCACAGACAGAAATCAATGCATGGGTTAAGAAAGGGGCTGTTTTGAGAGATGAATTGTATTCATCTGATGGCAAACCAGTCCTTCCGAAAAACCTACACAAATGGGCTGCCATTTTGAGCCATGGTCCTTCTCACGTCTCAAGAGGAGKGATGGTAGGCCAGGTTAATAAAGTTTTTACCACTTTTGGATTTGAAGGCTACGCTGCTAACTTCTGCAGAGCCTGTTTGATTTGTGCTAAACATAATCCTCAAGGAAACTGTAGGCCTAGACTTGGGAGGTTTCCAGAACCACAATATCCTTTTCAAARCATTCACATGGATTTTATTGAGCTAAATAAATGTGAAGGGAAAAAATTCTGTCTGGTAATTGTTGATGCATTTTCAAAGTGGGTTGAAATCTTTCCTACAAAACATCCAGATGCTCTAACAGTGGCAAAGGCCCAATGTAGGGATATTATACCACGATTCGGCGTTCCTGAAACAATCTACTCAGACAATGGAACACATTTTGTAAATCAGTTGATCACTAAAATAGGTCAGCTATTTCAGATCAATTTAAAAAATCACTGTGCTTATCATCCTCAGAGTGCAGGTCTGGTAGAACGGACAAATGCAACAATAAAGAACAGACTTAAGAAATGTATGGAAGAAACAAACAGACCATGGACCAAATGTCTTGATTTGGTAAAAATGTTTATGAACACAACAAGTTCAAAAGGTCTGACACCTTTTGAGGTTCTCCATGGGCGAGCATTTAGACTGCCATATTTCAAAATGGAATGGGAAGTGGGAAACGAAGGAAGTCTGGCAGACTACATGAGAAAGGCCCTGGAAAAAAGGCAGGAGAAAACCACTAATGAAGAACTCTCTGATGCTTTACAGGAACCCCTGCTGGTTGAACCAGGCGACTGGGTGCTTGTTCGCAGCATTAAGAAGAAGCACTGGCACTCACCCAAGTGGGAAGGACCATTTCAGGTCTTGTTGAACACACCTACTGCAATTAAAATTGCTGAAAGAAATACTTGGGTGCATTTADCACATGTTAAAAAGATCATTTCATTGAAAAAACAGTAATTGGGTGATGATTGCCATTCTCTGTGATCAACAGGAGAAGTCCAGAAGGTACAAAGGGGTTCATCTCTTAGGGGTGCGCGTCTCAATTCTGGTGAAGATTGTCTATCCTCCTGTTGATTGGTAGGAAGTGGAGAAAAAGAGACTTTGTCAGCAATCATCAACTAATTATAGTTGGAATAAGGGCATGAAAAATTTATATGGTATGACTGTTTTCTCATCACACAGTTCGTTATTTGCTTAATGTGTATTGGACCGACCACAGAAACAGATTGTTGCAGAGCATTGAACTTCAAAGAGTAGGAAGAGAATAAATAATTACCTGTAAACAAAACTTTGTGAAACATTTTGAAGGTTGTAACTCCCAAAACAGTGACAATGACACCTATTTGGGTGAGGAATGTGATAGTAGGATGGTCTCTGACCCTCCTGCTGATCATACTGTTTTTGCTCACCTGGTACTTACACCCTTCTAACAGTAATGTTACTCCAGCACAACTAAGAACCAAGATTGAAGTGACTGGATCTTCTATTCTTGTTGACAATCACAATCTGGGCAGGACTAAACGGCAGGCATTCAGGACATATAATCCCTGTAACACTGTTCATGTGAACAGAAAGATCAAGGCTCTGCACATCTGCTATAATAACCCAGTAATAGCATCTACTGTCATGATTCCTTTTGCTTCTGTCAGAACGAGAGATGATGAATCGGCTGCACTTTATGCTAAAAACGAGTGGTATATGGCCACCACAAAAGGGTCCAGCACTTGGGGTTCTGCTTTCACTTACACCGGGACGGAGTGGGACCCAAAGGACTCCCTGACCACCCCAGAAGCTCAGCAGTGGTATGAAACTCTGACTCTATCTAAAACACTGACACACCTAATTTTGACTTTTAACACCACGAAAAATCCACTACCACCCACACCACCTTTGTTGTTTACATATGCTAGTCAACAGTGCTACCATTTCATTCTCTTTGCCTATACCTCTGGCCAGGATCCAGGTGTGTATTTCTCTTTGTGCACAAACATCACAGCTAATGAATCATCACACTGTGAAGAGTGTGGATTGACCAGAAGCCCAGCACTGGACTCAAGTATTTATGTAGAAATTCACAATCAGCAACTGCAATCTGATGATTGGTTTAAAGTGACCACAGGTATTTCTGCTTTGAGTAACAATTGGCTCCTATTGGTTGAAAATGCTGCAAAAACAATCCAAGAGGATTGTGTGGTGTGTTTGGGGCCCAGACCGGTTCTGAAGGTGATTCCAGCGACGTTGACTTCTACCTGTGTTCTGGATGTGATGGAAAATACTGTTCCAAGGAAAGATGAATGTCAACTTTTTGACCATGTTTATCCTATTTCCCCTACTTCAGCTCAGAAGCCAATCTTTTCCAATCAAGTGGCTAGAGCAAATTTCTCTTGTATTTCTTTCCCAACAGGACATGCAAAAATAAGTAATTTGACTGATGAATGGTGCTCTGAAACTTTTGTTGTCAGTTCCTCTTTCATCCCCCTGTCCAGGAGTGACATCTGGTGGTGGGGAGGAAGTGATCGGTTGTTTGATAAGTTGCCAGCAGGCTCAAAAGGATTATTAGCTGTTGTGACTGTTAATGCCAATCTCACTCTATCCAACTTCTGCCAGTGAACTTTTTGCTGATTTAGGCACAGCCTTAGGGATGACAAATCACTACAACAGGCGCAGACGTGCTGCGCTTGAACTTCCAGGTCACAATCCAACATATATTGACGCCATCGGTGTTCCTCGGGGCGTGCCTCCACAGTATAAGCTGGTTAACGAAGTAGCTGCCGGGTTTGAAAGTATTTTGCCTCAAATTACAATTGCTAAGCACACTTCGAGAATTAATTACATTCATTTTAACGTTCAGAGATTGGGAAATATTACAGAGTATGGTTTTCGGGCCATCGCAGAGCAACTAGCGGCAACGTCATTGATGGCGTTCCAGAACCGCATTGCCATAGACATGCTTCTCTCTGAAAAGGGCGGAGTGTGTTCCATCTTCGGTGAACAATGCTGTGTTTTCATACCCAACAACACCCATACTGGGGGCAGTATCACCAAGGCCATTGAGGGTCTTCGTACTCTCAATGTCCTAATGAAGGAGCATTCTGGTGTTGACACCTCTGGGTGGGACAGCTGGATGAATGCTATCTTCGGCAGGTGGCGTGCTCTGGCTTCGTCTGCTCTAATTTCCATTGCTGCGGTTGCAGCCATTCTGACGCTATGTGGATGTTGTTTAATTCCGCTGCTGCGCTCCCTTGTTAACAAATTGATCGCCACAGCCATAGGTCCTGTCGGCGCCCGAGACAGTCATTCGTACACACTCCTGGAAGCATCGATGGATGGCAATTCTGTGGCCCATGATAACGTGTGTGAAGAGGTTTATAGCACTATCCATAGGGCTGATTCTCCATCTGTTGGTTCTACTTATTATGAGGATAATTCTGATTTGAATGATGTTGTTAATGATTCTGATGATGGTRATGAATGGCTGGCAGTCCCTCTTACTATTTTTACACCTTGCAATGATGTTGAGGGCATGGTCGAGTGAGATGATAATTGCTTTATTGTTTATATGTAAGACCCAGTTTTTATTATTATATGGTTGAAATCATGTGATTATTTTCATGTCACTAATCATTCTTTTGTGCATGAAACAGCGAGACGTCTGGAGAATGATCCCTGAACTGAAAGCCTGCTTGGGATGTGTTCCGGGTGATGTTTGCAGATATCTGTTTCATGCATTTAAATTAATTTGCATTTATTTGTTTGACTTAATCACCTAAAAGTCATTCATGTTATTCTTTTACATTTTACACTCACCTATAGAGTTACCTTTGCATCAGTTTTTATACATTCATTTTACATTATACATTCAAGGAAGTTTCTAATTACATGTTTCATCTTGTTGTTGATTATTTTGATGTCTACACTTAAGTATTTTCTATGATGAAAAGGGGGGAATGTTAGAGCAAAGTTGAGGTGGTGGTTATCTTCATCATTGAAAATACTTGGCAGTGAGAGCTTGGGTCAACTTCCTTATTTTGAGAGTTTAATCATTGCTTTTATAATGTCACATTTTTCCATGTGAGCAGATTTGCTGAGTCGCAGTCATCGGGGAGGGAGATGAACTCTGGACTGATTCATCCAACTGTTGATAGCAGAAGCTGTCCCTGATTTTAATAATTGTCTTGTATCAAATAATGTTTTGTCATGAGACCTGCATTTTCCCCCCCTCCCTTAGGCAGTCTCATGACCCAATGTAATTAGGGGCGTGGAAAGCTAAATAAAAGAGGCTGAACTACAGGAAGTCTCTTAGAACGATGGATTTGGGTGTAAAAGAGACTTCCTGTCCAGCGTTCTCCTCACTTTGATTCTAAGCCATGGTTTAAATTGTCTCATTTGCTCCCGTTTTTGTGTGTATTTAGGAAAAATACCTATCAGTAAGAGTGAGGCCTCAAGGAGCAGCGGTCACAGAGAGACGGGACAGTGAGAAGCTGGCAGGAATAAGACAAAGAGGAGACATATGGAGGTAGTTGGAGTGAGGACAGAGGACTAAGGCTGTGCTCACACCCAGGCCTTTTCAGTATGTGCTGCTAAATCAGATACATAACTCCACATGTCTTCAGCTACAGACGTCCAGTTGCTTTGTCTTTTTTTCTTTTAAGTCTTCATGTCCTGGATAACTGATGAACAGAAATAACGTCCATCTTGGACCGTATCGATAGTCGAAAGTCGTTGAATTCATCAATCCAAAAATAAGGCCTGAATTAGCTTTAAAATGTCTTAAATCAGCCTTTAGGGCTCTTAAAAATGTCAACACATTGTAGTTTGTGTTTATTGTGAAGTTGGTCTTAAATTTCATTTCAAATGACATTAAAAAGGTCCTAAAAAGTCTGAAAT